AGAGAAAGAGAAAGAGAAAGAGAAAGAGAAAGAGAGAGAGATGGGGGGGGAGAGATTGGGGAACCTTAACCAAGCATGCCAGGGAGCAAAGAGATGGGGGCATCCTGTTTGGCAGCCACAGCAGCTGCAGATGTTTCGGCATGTCTTTTTATTTGCTCACCCTTGGAGAGTCCCCCCTCTTTTCTCCTCCTTTCCAGCCTGGCTTTGCAGGCACCCACAGCTGTGGGCTGTGAAGAAGGAGCACCGAGCCCTGTGGTGATGGGAGGGGGGAGACCTGTATTGATGGGGAGGGGAGAGGAGGCAATATGGGGGGGGAGTGGGGGAGGAAGGCATTTTGGCAAAATCTTTTAGGCCTCTCTCCTTCCATTGCATTTATATTAATTGTCCTTTCTCATCCTCTAAAGAATTCCTTCCTTCCACCTCCTCAGAAGAAACGGCTGTGGAGAATCAAGGGCAACCAAGACTAGGAGACAAAAAGTCCTAGACCCTGTCCTGAAGCCTCCGGCCAAACATGCAAACCCAAAGTTTGTTCCCGAACTTCGGGTTTGTGCTTTGGGTTGTTTTTTGCCCTCCAGAGGCTTCAGGAAAGCCTCCGGAGGTCGAAAAACAGTCAAAATGAAGGCCAAAACCAGCTGGCCAGCGTGCACATGCGCGCTGGAGCTGACAGGGCAATGCCTCGCGTGCCCTAAGAAATGGCTCCGTGTCCCATCACGGCTCTATACCATCTCAGACAAATGACTGTCCAATCAGTTCTTAAAAACCTCCACAATTTCCCATAATTTCTAGAGGCAAGCTGTTCCACTGATGAATTTCTTGTTCTGTCAGGATTTTTCCTCTTTGTCTAGGTTGGTTCTCTTCTTGATTAGTTTCTATCCATTGCTTCTTGTTCTCCTTTAGGTACTTTAGAGAAAAGGTTGACATACACACACACACAAACACACCACCCCTTAGATATTGGAACACTTTTCAATATCTTCCAACATTTCCCCCTACTTCCTCTTCCTTTGGTTATCATGGGAAAACAAGAACATTTATATGTTTGTCTATAATATCCTTAGAACACAACTTTAAATGTCTTCTTAATCAAGTGGAAATGATGGCTCCTATTTTTACAGGGGAAAAAAATCTCCTTGTTTTTGTACCAACCTGGTTCGGCTTTGTGTCCCAAAATTGCAAGTTTTTGAACATGTGGACCAAGAACTCCATGGATAATGATCACAGAAACATCCAAAACTTTTTTCAACTACAAGGCTCAGAAGGATAACACATATGAAGATGTCTCTTTTCATGGCTAAAAAATATCAAGCTACAAAGGATGTGTCCTTAGAAATATATAATATATTACATTATAATAATTTACAACAATATATAAAGATCCCAAATCAATCACACTTCACATTATGGATTTGGAAATAATTGTATGCCATTAACTATCTGGACTTCATTTCTATAATAATAATATTTTCTATTATTAATTATCATATTTGCATAGCCATCATCTAAAAAAGAGTGACTCTGGGCAGCAGTCAGCACTTAATTAAAAAGAAAACCAATAAGCACATATAAAAACAATCATTAAAAATTGTAAAAACTATTCAAGAGCACATGAAACGGGAGAGATGAAGTTAATTGCAGTAAGGGAACAATTTATTAAAGTGATGTTTTTATTACATGACTGGCAGCTCATTTACAGAATATCTAATTTCCCCACCTTGGCAGCTTTAAGACATGTGGAATTCAAGTCCCAGAATTCCACAATAAACGTGGCTGATGGGAGAATTATAGAAGTGGATATTCATACATCTTAAACTGCACAAATGAATA